TCACTTTACACTTACTTCTAAAAATTTCCTTCTCTGCCTACCCTACTTTCCCACCCCCCAAAACTCTATAACCACCGTTTTTACAGGAAAAAATGGTGGGACTAGGGGTATATGAGTGGGCCTACATAAGGTACTTTTACCAAATTAGAACGGTGTACCAACTAAGCAAGGTGGGGAGATTAATTTTAAATAGGAAGTTCCATGTGCAATACTTAAATGTGTTCGGCCTGGGAAAATGACATTGAATGCCTCTTGCACCATACAAACCATTGCGTGAAGTAAACAGAACCCAAGGGAGTGGGCGACGGTCACAGCAAATGTAGACAGAACTGCTTAAATGCGTCTGTCCCAGGCTGTGTTGCTTTTAATAGTCTGCGCCTCAAAATTTATGCGCCCTCTAGATCTGATGAAATTGACAAGAATATATGAACTACAGGGCCAAAGGTTTTATTTCTCAAACTCTAAACTAGAAGACACAATAGTTCGATAATCACAAGCGACATCATGCCCCAAAAACCCTACAAATCTGGTTCGGTTGCTATCTCTATGTTAATTTGTCCATTGAAAACAGGCTTTTGTTGCGCCTACTTTACTAAATCCGCGTTCCTAAGACAACGAGAGGATGCGGATGAGTATGGACGAAGTGCCGAGCAAAATTGTAAAGACTGTGCATGTGTACCAAAGTTTCATTGCGGGAACTAGAAGGTTGCACAAGCGGTAGTATTCTAAAGGTCAAATCAATAAGGAGTCACTGAGGGCTGACTCCTACTGCTAAGTAGAGCCGAGGTAAGACGTCAGTTGCGACCAACCGAGCCACGACTCATTGATGAACGTATACCTGACCGCTAACGGAACTCATCCGTCCCGCTTTGCCTTGGGCCTCGACAGAGGCCCTGAAAGCCGTAACAACTGGTAGTATTAGGCAGATGGTATTGCCTGCAAAGACAAGAGAGGCTGAAATGGCCATTTCTGGCTTATTACTCGTCTTTAGTCAGTCATACCCAGATCTAGTGGTATCCCACTCGAGCCTCGAAATCACGACATTTTTGATCAGAGTCAGGCACCCTAACCATTGAGCCACGAGCTCGTTGTTTTGCCAGTTTAGGTCAGGGGATATTGACACTCTTTGAGGAACGTTCACCTGACCGCTAACAGAACTCATCTGTCCCGCTTTGCCTTGGGCCTCGACAGAGGCCCTAACAACCGTAACAGCCGATAACAGACATACAGTATTGCCAGCAAAGACAAGGGAGACTGGAATGGGAATTTACGGCTTATTAATACTCCTTACACCGCTCAGGCCGTAAACACAGGGTAAATATGATGAACACCGTAAAATAAGGAAACGAAACACCGAGCTGACTAAGAATGTCAAGTGGGACAAATGAGGGATAAGTCATCCTTTGGATAGCCCATTCTTCTTACTTCAAAAAACTTGCGGAACGGCAATCATGACCTCGTCATGGTCGGGCAGTTCTTCATAGTGGGGTCAGTGAAACCAGTTTATGAAGGAAGGACGGTACTCTGCAAGGATCGTTAACTGACATATCCATGGCATGTTCACGATAGTAAAAACTTGGCAAATTGTTCTCCGCGTCAGGTACACAAAGGGCTTGGATTACTGCGTCTTTAAGCGTACATGGAGTTAACCATATAGGACGGTTAGCTTCAATTGTTAAATACCACCACGCTCCTACGTACTCGGTTTTAGCACACAATCGATGACAACAGAAAAGGCTTTGTACTCCATTTGATTCTTACAGTTATCGTCTTAATATAAAATCGAATCCAATGAATCAAGCGTAGGAATTTGCCCCATACAAGATAAAAGAATGTTGCTTATCAAGGCATACGAGCATATAATTTTTGAAACACGCAGATACGTGAGCGGCGTTTGTACAAATGCAACGTGCCAACATACCTGACTCCAATGGTGACCAATTCCAGAAAATGACGACCTTGAATTAGGCCAATCAGGACGATGCATACAATGATAGTGATGGAGATGATAGACAAATGCTTGCCTAGACGATCCATACTTTTTTGTAATGGTGTTCGCGGAGCCTTACAAAAAAATTGGACAAAATTAGACGTAAGATAAAATTTGCTCAGAAAAGAATCTTAACTACGTATACAGGAGCGGTATCAGTCTTATTTTTTCGGGACTAGATTTGCGTACTTGGTAGACAAAAGTAACCCCGATTTTTTAAGTGCGACTGTAACACGAACTATGGGTATAAGAAAAGAGTCACCCGGGCCCAGACAAGAAGGCAAGTTAAGCTTGACCAAACAGTTCTGAAAATATTTCAACACGTTACATGTTTCTGTAGCAATGGAGAAGAGCAAAGTGGTTGTTAACAAGTAATTCCATCAGGTACAGTGGTAGTGTAACCTTACCTCTTCGGATTGCATCATTCGCACAACCTCGCCAAACTCAGAGTTTTCGCCAGTTGCTATGACGACGCCGATCGCGTTTCCAGAACGGACAAGAGTCCCCATAAAGCCAATGTTGGTCAATAAGTGCGCTCCACGCGCCTGTTTATAAGTAGATTGGGAGGTATCGTCTGCAAAAGTTATTGCGGTTTCGTCTAAAATTCGTTAAAAAAACGATACAGAACCTCACGACAATTCTTGCCGAAAGAAAACACAGTTACTAGAGAAGATTTCATATTAGGGCGAGATCAATTCAATATCTAGCAAAATAAACTCCAACTAGGCTTGTGCATATCTCGTATGCCTGACTTGACTGCCTGAAGGACAGGACCCATTCATTGGCCGTTTGAGATCGCAAAAAATAAGTCTTGAGCAAAAAAGAATGCATATTATTTTGGTTAACGGCACACTATTATGGGGCTGAATAGTAGGTTGGATAGAAATTGGTGACAGCAGAAGAGAAGCATTTGGTGGAAATGGTTTGCAGTTGTTGTTTTTAAAGCAGAAGTGTGTTTACCGTTGGATTTAGCAGCAGGACGGTCTTCAATCCTATTTGCAAATACATTAAAGAGCATAGAGTTCGAATTCTGTTGATCTGGAAGAGGAGACTCGGGAGGAAAGGCGGAAGTTATGACTTGAGAGGATTTGGTCACAGCTTTTGTTTCGCCGGTCAGATTTGACTCATCAATACGAAAATCTGTGGCTTCAATGAGACGTAGGTCAGCTGGCACCCGGTCGCCGACGGAGAGATAAACAATATCACCAGGGACCAAGTCCTGCGCTAGTATCTGGCTTAGTGTGCCATCGCGCATGCTACACGAAGAAAGAGAAAACCAAAAATTGACATCGTAACTGAATCACTCGCGCATCATGACGAGAAATCCAAAGATAATATTACTACATTAATCAAATCTGTTATGAGGAAATGCATTAAAGCGGGATGTCGTTACTGTTTATTAATTAAGAAACAGCTGGAGGTACCTTAATGAGGAAAACAACAGAAAAGCCCCGAAGGATACATGAATTAAGAGATCGTGGCATGCAACAAGTTTAGTAGAAGGTAACTTGAGTGCTACTGTGAATAACAGATGCAAAAATGAACATAAAAATCAACCCTCACGCGCGCTGCTTCCGTATCTATAGGGCAGCGCGCATAAAGAGGACCAGATGCTTAAATCAAGTCAAAACCTGGGCTCCAGTCGAAATAAGCAAAAAATGGTCGGGAAGTCAATCATTACATTTACCAATGCTAAGTTAATCGGAGCGCCAGCGTCTTGCGGCTGCAGAAGTCAATTTGGTGACTATTCGAATAAGGTAAAAAGAATACCCCCCAAGTCCTATGAACTGTTGTATCTAAGCCTAGATTGCTTGTTGCAAACCGTAAAAATCGTACTTATGGATCAAGACAGTGCCCTCCACATATTACACTAAAATCGGATTGTTGTCAGAAAAAAAGAAGATCTCGGTAATCAAGTATCGCCTAGAATATCATGCAAGGATAAATGTCTGTTTGGACGTCTGGCAGGGTAACAACAAATTCTTAGGTATCGCATACTTTAGAAAGGATATCAAGTGCATTTACCGGATTAAATGTGCGAGATTAACCGTGTTAATAAAATTTAAAATTTCTAGAACTGATCGTTTGACGCACAGATATAAGAAAGAGGCAAAAGTTTAAGAGTAAAAGGAATAAAACCCACCAATTACACTTTGGAGGCATAAGTTTCTTAAGCGATTCGACAGCCTTTTCTGACCTATGCCCTTGTATAAAACCAACGGTCACTACAATCAAAATTGCCTATAAATTAATAGCGCTAGTAAAATATACACACCATGGAAATGCTGACAGCATCGTCAAACTGTCCCATCAAGACGCTTACTCCTGCCGAAACAAGAAGAAGGCCTATCATGGGCTCCATGAACTGCTTTAGATATTTCTTCCAGAGCGGATCTGGTGGATCACTTTTGAATTCATTAAAGCCCAGTTTGATTTGACGACGTTTTGCTTCGGTAGATGAGAGCCCACTACGTGCGTCAACCTAAAAAATCTACGTCTGGTATTGATAGGGTTACTTCAAGCGCCCTAAGTAATTCATCAGGAGTTTTGTAAGTCGCATGGTGAGCTTTGATATGAGTTAACATCACCAAACGCAGTTCGAGGAGACCTCTGGGGTTTTGCGAATCCTTACTGCCAGTTTAACTGGCGCAGATTCAGACCGCTCGTGTTCAATGGGGTACAGGTCGGGAATAAGGATTTATTTGTCTTAACGGTAAAATACCCTAAAAATAATAAACATGTTACTGAAACATAGTAGATAACAGTACAA